CAATTCTTCTATTTTAATCCCCTATTATGCCTTTAAACTCAACTATCATTATTGAAACCAACTTATGTCCATATAAATCATATTTATCTTCCATATTTCATCAAGATTCTTAAAACTAAGAATCTTACTAAACTTTCAAATTTGTATAAATCTTTTCTAACTTCATAAATCTCTTATTCTTCTTGATGACAAGTCAAATTCCATCTTAAAAATCTCTTATTAACTCTTTTCCAAAATTTCCTTTAAAAACCCATTTTCTTTAATCTTTCATAACTTCTTTATCTTTCAATCTTAAGATAACCTAAGCTTTCCTTAAGCTTAGTTATTATCTAATGATCAAAACCCAACCATAAATTTAGCAAATAACCAACTAACAAAGAAACTCACCTTTGCAAGCTGGCTCTTCACGTTTGAGAGAAGATGAAGATGAAGAAGATAAGTCTAAAACTTATCTCTTCAATCATACCTCTCATATATTATAATACCCATTTATTAATATTTAATATTATCTTTGTTCAATGACCATTTTGCCCTTCATCTACTTTAATAATTACTAACAACTTTTAGGAATTATTTCCAAATAAATCATTGAATTATTCCATTCTTCTACTTAATTCATCAAATTCTTAAACTTTACAATTTAGCCACTAACCCCTAGTTTGGGATGTTACAGGTTCGACCGGTTGAACCAGTGAACCGGTAGCATGACCGGTTCGCTAACCGATCCGGTTCTGAAGACCATGCAAATCAGTGAGAGAAATAAAAATAAAAAATAGAGAAGTTAGTACAAATATTATCCCAAGGCATATTTTAGTTCTGCCATGGCCTTATCTTCTCGATAGCAACAACCTCTTTATCAACAAGCAACCATAAAAGATAGAAAATAGAGATAAAAAAATAGGGATTCAGGGTTTGAGAGGAGAAATAAAAAGGAAAAAAAACAACACAAAAAGTAAAAGATGGAAATACCATAGAGTATTCAGGGTTGAGAGAAACAAGCATAGAACGAAAAAAGAAAGAAAAAAATGAAAGAAGAAGGGAAGAAAAAGTTACTTTTTTCTTTAGATCTCTTCCGATCTAGCCTCCATCTCGAAAATCCGACCCTGTATTTATGCTGAGGATGAGGAGACGCTTCAGGTTATGTCTTCTTCCCTCTCATTCAACGTCGGCGGACGGAGATTGTCGTCAATCAGCGATGGCCGACACGACGGAAGTTCGCCGTTTTCTTGGAGCTCTTGAGCTCCGGTTGAAAGCTCTTGAGCTCTCTCTCTCTCTATTTCTCTCTTATTTAGGTAAGAAAGGATAAGAAGTTAATGAGGTTGAGGGTGGTCTTGGGCGTGATTTGTACCTTTTATATGAAGCTTGGAACGTCTTCGTTTTAAGGACCCAAGGGACAATTATCACGCGTGGGTTATTCACTAGAGAGGTCATCTGTATCTTCTAACATTCTATTTTAATCATCAATGCAACTCTATTTTTTTATTTCGGTTTTTTAATTTTGTATAAGTTGTAATTTAGTCCTTATTTACATTTGAATGCTTTTATGTTTTATTTAAGCCTAGGTCATTGTGTTTTAGTTTATTTATACTTAAGCAATTTATTTTCTTAGTTAATTCATTTTAGTCCTTATCTGGTGAGTTATTACATTTTTAATAACGTTTGACTTTGGCTATGGTATTTGTAATAGTTGCATTTTGGTCACTGATTTTTATGTTATGTATTTTGGTAGATATTCGAATTTGGGCCATGTCATTCGTAAATATTTTATTTTATTCACTGCTTGGTATTTGGTTTAATTATTGTTTGGTCCTTTATGTTTCTGGTTATTTTATTTTAGTCTTAAATATTATTTATGAGTTATTTTCATTTCTGGTACCTGTATTATTTAATATTTGCTATATGGGATCTGGCTTATTTATAATTACTGTTTATCCCTTTAAGTTTATGTTTTTTGCTATTTTAGTCCGTTAAGTTTCTGTGTTTTCTATTTTAGTCATTTAAGTTTCTATTTTTTATATTTTAGTCTGCTAAGTTTCTATTTTTGCTATTTCAGTCCTTTAACTTTTTTTTTGCTATTTTAGCCCTTTAAATTTGTGTTAATTTTATTTTAGTCCTGTAAATACTTGTATTTTAGTGATTTCATTTAGGTTTGTAATGTTTACTTATTTTTATTTTAGTCATTTATGTATGAATGTATTTTACATAATATGTGGTTATTTTGTATTATGTAAATAATGTTTTTAGTTCTATTTAATTCAAACATTTTATTTTGTATTTTTAATTACATTTATTTCCATTGCATTTTATCCATGGATGAAATATTCTATTTTTATTTTCAAGAACACGTATGCGTAAAATGAGCGTGGAAAGTACCATTTGGTCGAAGTGGTGCGATCCGGTACGACATTTAAATGACACATGAATCTGAAATAAGTCGAGTATATTTTACTAATTAATTTGTTCAAATGATGCAATGTGTGTTATTTTAAGTTACAATTTACTTCATTTTATGTGAATGTAAATGTCTTTTTAATTTATTCGATTCACATTCTCAAATCGATGAGGGAATATTCTTTTACAAATGAGAAATAGTTGAAATAGATTTTCCGACGGAGAATTGCTAATTTCAAGATTCTTATCGAGTAAAAGGATTTTCTTTTAAATACTCAATTCGAAGTAAATTAATCAAAGTTCAATAAATGGATCATATTTTAATTTTATATTTGATTCCTAATTTCCATCATTACGACAAAGTGTAAGCGACACAATACTAATTTTGGGCGTTGTGAGGGTGCTTATACCTCCCCACGCGTAACCGAATCCCGAATCCGTTTTAATCGAATCTTTGTAAATGCATACCAACTTTTTGTCTTAAAAACGATTTTTCTTAAAATTGTTTTTAAAAATAAATTTTAGATATTCGATCTACCTAACCCAAAGGTTGATGACGACTCTCATTCAATTTAATTCTAATTATTCCAAAATCATTAATTTTTTAAAATAAAAGTCATAATCGTTTTTTCTAAAAAAATATTACAAAATGATCAAAAGAAAGGAGCGGTGCGGTTTACTTTGAAGCTGAGAGCGCCGGTTAAGATTAAAGTGGGATCCATTAAGACGTGGAAAATGACCGTTAAAGTGACGTGTAAGATAACGGTGGCGGCCAAGATTCGATCGAAGGATTGTTATTATGGATTAAATATTTGGTAGTGTTTTCTTTACAGTTTGGTACAGTTGCGGATAAGGTAAATTTTTTTTGTTTTGTTTTGAAATTCATTTGTCTTTACATTATATCATAGTCATAGTATACAGTATGGATATTTTATAACTAACATTTAATAATCTTACATGCTATTATTAATTTACCAAACATGGTTAAAAATCCATTAAAATTGAATTCAAAATTAGGATTTTTTTCCAATAGGGCAAAACGGTTTTCTACCGTGTTCCAATAAAATATATATTTTTAATTAATTTTATCACATTGGTAAAATGTTTGAATGAAAAATATTTTTTATTAGAACTCGTTACCTCAACGCAATAAATTCTAAGTCACTATAACAAATGCCTTAGATCCCTAAATAAACTTCTATACACCCTATTAGGCTAATTAATTAAATTGTTTGTCTTATTGGGTCAAAAGAACCCAGAAATAGCTTACCCATAGATTGGGCTGCATTAGAATACTAGCAAAAGTCCATTTAAAACATACCCAGAAAATGGATTGCTTGAAGCCCAATACCAATGTTGGGAACGAATGTTATAGAAAAGGCAACGATAGATTCAGATTAGGTTGGTAGCTAATTTACTGTACGTTCTTGTAATTATATCTTAATAATAGTTTGGATATGTATATGGATGTAAGGCTTTATTTATGGCCATTTTTGTTTAAAATGACATGTACATCAATACAATTGTATGTGGTTTGATTTTATTTTTATTTATTGTTATTAATATATGATAAATACAATGTGCATTATTTGTTCAAAAATAATTCTCAATCTTTCGACATTGAACCCTCACACTCTTAACATTTATGGTGCTCGAATTCGGATTCTTAAAGGAAAAAACAATTCCTTTACCACATAGACTACTTTGTTCGTGATTGATTTTGATTTAAAAATGAAATATAATGTTTATTTATTATGTGTGGTTAAGTCTATTCAAATCCGAGTACCCAAAGTTCCAGATACTCAGGTTTTCGTGTAGTTGATTGGCCGCCCTGTGTTCTCACCCGAATATCGCGAGTATCCGGTAATCGGGTACTCAGGTTTTGCAGGTACCCGTAATTCGAGTAATCAGGTACCAAATTTTTTATTATTTTCAAATTATTATTTAAAAAAAACATATAACTTATATTGTTAAACAAAATATTATATTAATTATTAAACATACATTGGGTGAGTTTTTTTTAATTTTATTAGCTTAATTTAATATATAAAATTATTAATAATTAAATATTTAATATTATTATATATAAAAAAAAGTAAATGTAATCGGGTACCCATATATCCGAAAAAATGTAATTTTGTGACGCGGGCCCAACCTAGAAATGTCGAGTCGGGTATCCAGCCCGATCAGATAATTTTTTTTATATAATTACCCGAATTTTTTTAGATCGGGTCATCGGGTACCAGGTCGGGTATTTTTGAACACCCCTAATCGTATTACCCAATATATAGAACAGCTTTATGAATCCAATATGCCAAATTATCACACTATGTTTTATCTATGCTTTACTTTTTTACTAACTAATCAAACATATCAACGGTTCATGGTTACTGATTAAATTAGTTAATCTCAATACTAACACATAAATTTAAGTCCCGAACCTTTTAGGATCATTTAGCATGAATCAACATAACACTTAATCTCTAAAGCTACACAATTTAAAAATATATTTGCATTAAGAAACAAATTGCCTTCACCAACGCAGGAACTAATCCAATTTATGTCTAGATAGATCCAACAACCAGATGCAAAATATTACCGAAACAACAATCTTAAGCGAAATTCACTCACAACACGAGTCATATCAAACATCCAAAAGGACCACAAAGGAAGTTCTGAATTTCAGAATAAGTTCTCTTTGACATCAATGTTTCCAAACACAGAAAAGATATAAACTAAATCAGAACAAGACCTATAGTGTGATGTATCATACTCGGTCGTTTAGTGATCTCCGGGCATGCTCTTGATAATATCAGAGTCACCTGAAAATGAAACACAAAATACAACTACAATCAGAATACATATGTAGAGCGTATGTAAAAAATACCAAATCTTTATATATACCCGGGTCAATAAGCTGAGGCAGCACACTCTGAAGTATTTGCCACAGGCAGTCCCCAAATCTACATTGTCTGGAACAGAACATTTTTAGGGAATGATCCTCTAAAAACAAATAGTGAATTACAAGAAACTTGAAACAACAAAGTAATCCACTACTCGAGCGAATATGTATATCACAAATTACACATGATAAATTAGAGTGAGAGGGAGAGGGCAGATGGTTTCCATCAAGGCACAATATTGCAAAGATAGCGTACACCATAGACCACAATGAGTAGTTCATCAAAGGGTTTTGACAAACATATTAGTTTCATAATAGAAAATGTAATTGTGTAAGACTTTTCAAAAATCTTCAGCAACAAGCTTTACTATTAACAAAAGAATCGAATGATGTAGGGACGATAATTTTATCGATTATCAATAAACTGAAAATAGATTCGATTCAATGTGATATGAAAAAAATATCCGATACACAGAGTAATGATATAGGATAAGGAACATACTTCCATTGTAGTGGTGAACTCCAACCTTGCACAACATGGCATAATATTCAATCTCTGACTTCCTAAGAGGAGGGCAGTTGTTGGCAATGATAATCAGCTTACCTACAAAAAATAATCAAATAAAATGTCAGCATCTTCCAATTTCAGAAGCTCAATTAACATTATAGATTAGGCATCAGTAATTAAGAGAACACACAAAATCAACCAAAAGAAACCCTAATCCCCTTGTCCAAGTTAAACACTATTTTAACCATAAACCAAATGGAAATTCATTCAACTTCAGTTGATCATCCAAAACAATGAAGTAAACCATAATTTTTCATCTGACCCAAGAATTAAAAGTGCAAGGAATATTCAAAATTAACAATCAGGTAGTTCAGCAATGTTGAGGCAAAGAAGACTTTTTAAAAGAAAAAGGGGGGAAACAATACCCTTGGAGTTTCTGAGAGATTTAAGAACAGTTTTGTAACCCAAAGTGTATTTCCCACTCTTCATAACGAGAGCCAATCTGTTGTTAATGCTCTCATGAGTCTTCTTCTGCGCTTCATGAAATACCCATTCGAAGACAGAACCAATAGTTAGCAAATTTCCAGAGCAAAAACAAAAATAAAGAAAAAGTGTAAACAGTCAACATATCAAAAACGAGAGATGGAATTTTACGGTCTTCTTGGAGGCAACCATTGTCGTCGTCGTAGATCTACAAATGGCTCACCAAAAGCAAATAAACCCTAAACATCTAGCGAATATATTTGTAATTCTGAATTTAGGGTTCTTAGTAAATTTCTTATTGAGCTTTGGTTTTACGGCCCATTAGCAACAATAGTTCAGGCTGACACCTGAGGAATTAACAGTGCTTGGAGCAACCTTTAGATGTACAATTTATAATTAATTATATATATAATACACAAAATATGAAATTTAGTTTTTTTTAGAAAAGTATCTATGAATTTTGGCTAAGCGATCATAATTTTTATTGGTTGTTCATATTAATGATTAAAATTAAATATTAATAAAAAAGAGCCTAAACAAAAATGCGTAAGCAAGACTAAACATCATTATGTTTAAACTCACATTCTTTATACATGTACATGAATAAAAAAAAAAAAACATGTTACAAATGCACTTGCACAAACAAGAGGAAATATTACACAGCTGAGGGGAAAACAATCCCCATTAATATACAGGCCACGACATCAGGAGCATTCCATCTTGCCATCCACACAGATAGGCTTCCTACCTTCTCTCTTCTGTTTCTTTGATAATGGCTCGGCTTGTGCTTCGGTCTACAGCATGGTAAAACGATGCATCAAGAAGTGGACGTGAGTTACGGCGAAATGGTATCATCCGTATCAATTATAACTGCAATTAGTAACGGAAGAGGGTGCTTACGGCATTCGAAAGCTGCTCTTGAATGTAGGCCATTGATCCCAACATTGCACCTAATGTATACCTGGACACCTGGAATTTAATCTCCGGCTCCCCCGTAGCGGTCTCGGTGTCTTGAAGCTGGAACGGAGATGATAAAAGAAAAATAAGAAAAAGAGGCGTAAGTGAGGCGTTTAGAGGGTAAAAAAGAAACCTTGCTCAAGTCTAATGGAATACGATGTTAAAGCAAGAGACGAATCATGTATTCGTTTCTGCATCACAAATTTAGATTCAACATGATTTCATTAGAAAACCAATTTTGCAAACAGATTAGTACACAATAAAACATGTGAAAAATGTATTATATAATCACAATGGGTCGGCCCCATATAAAATATCATAGCAGAGGTTCTATTTTCTCAAATATCGTAACCATTTGGAAGAGCGTGGCTTGATTATGGTTTAACATACCTTCAAATTGATGACAGCAACCCTGTTGGCTGGGGTGGAGAGCTGTTCACTAATATAAGCCATAGACCTCGGCATAGGTTCTAAAGTACCCCTTGAGAGCTGAAATTTAATCTCCATTGCAGCTGATTGGATTCTTGCCGTAATCTTGCAACTGTTTCGATTAAATATTGGATATGCATAAGAAAAGAGTTTGAAATAAGTTGAAAATGAGACAAAGTGACTTGAATAACATTATCTATCGACTCCACATTTGTGGACATAAGCCAAACAGTTTTAAAGGGTTCATTGTGTTTCAGCAATTAATTAGAAGGTTTTAATTTTTCAAGGTTAATGCTACCAACTTCTGACACCAGCTATTAACATTTTACCATACACATACTTTTAAATTAATGACTGCAACTCTATTTCCAGGTGTTGAGTTCTTATTCTCCATCACCCAAGTCGTCGATTTCAAACAAGGAATAACCGGCTGCATCAAAGCAACCAATAACTTAATCAACCCATAAGTTTAATGAAACACATCAAAAAGAAAAAAGAAATAGTTACTTGCTGTACCAAGTTATCAGGATGATTATCATCCCGATGGAGAGAAACAGGAGCCATATGTGGAATATTCAAATCTGAGACAGATTGAGCTGGAGCACCAGTGTCATTAAGATTGAATCGCCGTGTAATTTCATCCTGCTGTGGCCATAGCAAAGGAGCTGTATCTGGAGCTAAAGTTGAGCTCCTATTGTCATCATAAGCAGCACTAATAGCCTGTGAACCAGGAGGTGCAACTTTTGCAGCATTTTTCTTTATGACAGAAACCTTCTTCTCACCTTCCTTAAGAGCACCCATTGCAACATTATAAGTCTCTGTAGCCATTGCCCCATCTTCAGCATATTTGATTGCTTCCCAACATAAACTATTATATCGTCCAATCAAGGACACTTGGCCATGCAATGGTCCACCAGGTTCGTCTGTCCCAACCCCAGACTTTGCATTTTGGGTCCATCGTTTCAAGATGCAATGAGATGGTAGTGTAAGTACCTTTGTCACAGTGAAGACTGTCAAAACATGTCTACAAAGGATGCCCGAATACTCAAACATTTGACAACTACAATTAGCTCTCATTTCAGGGTAGTTTAATGTAACTATGTATGCTTTGTTAACGTCCTCAAACTTTGCAACTCTAAATGTGCTGATGGTTTCATTCCCTTCAATTCTATTAGCAGTGTAAACAAAAGTTCAACTAATTCTTCTTGAAATTTTGTGAATATTTTCCTTGTATATAGTTCTGCTGCCTGTTTCTCCATAGGTGACGGTGTCTGCAGAGTGGTGCAATTAGTGTCAAAATCAGCTTCAATCTCCCTTTCAAACCAGTTCTCCATTGCTCGTTCATACTGTCTAAAGAACAACGGTATTGTGGTCTGTTGATTCACGTAACCATAAAAAAAGGAGCAATCAAATCCTTGATTGGGTGATATTGCAGCAAAAAAAGAATCCCGAAAATAGACAGGAATCCATTGAGCTCGAGCACTATATAGTGACTGAAGCCAATTGTATGCACTAAGATTATACTTCTCAAGAAGGGAACTCCAAGATAATTCAAACTCCTCAACAGGATAAGTCAAATTTATGCAATTATATAGTTCTACCTGAAAATTAGGATGCACATGACAAACATGAGCTAGCTTCTCATGTCCTCTTAGAGCATGCCACTTATTAATACATGTCAAACACCAGGAAGCACCTGTGACACTGCAACCTGTATAGCTCTGTCTTGATCAGTGATTAAAGAAACAGATTGATGATCGTTCATGGCTGTAAGAAATGTTTTGAAAAGCCAAACAAAAGAAGCCTTAGAATCATCTAGTAGCAATGCACAACCAAACAAAATTGTCTGACCATGATGACTGATCCCAGAAAATGGAGCTAATGGCACCCTATAATGATTTACTCTGCAACTTGTGTCCAGTTTTATGGCATCACCAAAATGAATGTAGGCCGTCCATGACCTTGAATCAGCCCAAAAAACATTAGCCATTTGATTATCATCATCCAGCTGTATTGCATAAAAGAAACCAGGGTTCTTAGCTTACATCTTCATGAAATAATCGAGCAGATTTTGAGCATCCATCCCCAGTGTTCTCTTTCTAGTAACAGGCCTAACAGCCTAATTCAGTGTCCCGATATTCTTAACCGATCGATTTGCTTCAGCTGGAGGAGTGCTCCAGACACCACGATTATTTGTGTCCGAGGAGACATGATTTCCATCCATAAAAACATACATCACACCGCTTGGTACGATTCCCACCCCCTTGGTAACCATCAACCGTGGTCTTTGCAGTTCCAGCTAAGTGCCTACGGGAACGAAGGTAACACTTTGTTTGGACTCATCACGGAATGTTTATGCTCCTTCATTAATTTTGTAACAACCCACTTATCTCCCTTTAACTCTATTCTAAGCATTGCATCACAACAGTCAGCAGACCTTTTCACACCTTCACTGCCACAGACAAACTCCCTGGCAACTATCATCCCATCAGTCTTGGAACGACTAAGCTGGCCAACTTTGGAGCTAAATCCCATATGCCTACAATACTCATCATAGTAAGTTTTAGCAGCATCTTCAGAATCGAATTCCATACCGAGATATGGCTCACAAATCTCATCCTCGTTATGAGCTAGGGAATTGTTTACATGATTTAATTCACCTTCACTAGGTTCGACATCCCCATCATCTGACATTCCACGATGGCTTATACCCTCTTCTGAATCAATCACATGGACATCCATACTACACCACAATAATATTTCATACAGCGCCTTACTTTGTAAGCAAGCTACGCAGCATATTCTATTTGTTTTAAAGCAACCTGAACTAGATTTCAGTCAGCTAATATGAGCAACTCAGTAAACATAATCACAAGCTAGCAATCTGACAAACACATGCATACAATTACCAATTTTTTTACAAAATACTGTTAATCATATATGTAATTATCACAAATTCTAGCCAATTACATGGAACCATGTGTTAAAAGTCCAAAGTTTGACAACCAACTTTGAAAATGATTTTTCAAAGTTTGGTAGATGTTTGTTGAAAAATTGTAATGGGGTAATTATAATTAGTCACTGGACTTTAGGGTATTTATAAGATTAGTCCTTAACTTCAACTATAAATACCCTAACCCATTTAGCTTCAAAATCATCCCAAACCATTTCTTTCTCCCCAATACTAGAGAGCTTTCTTGTGAGTAGTGAGTGTTTTGTAACACCTGTAAATTTTCTCTCTTAGTAAAAGATCTGCAGCAGTTCGGAGACGTAAGCAAAATTGGCTAAACTCCGTTATCAATTTCGGGTATTATTTTTCCGCTTTTATTCGCATTCTCACTAATCTGGTTATAGGGAATTACTCGTTCTTGTTTATTTCCCAACAACTGGTAATCAAAGTTTTTGGTTGTGAATTTTGTCAATTTTTGCGAGGTTACTATTCATTACTATTCACGTAAATAATGAATTTCGTGAATAGTAAAATTTTGTTGGCGATACGAATTGTCGATGGAGGTGTTCTAATGCACGGCGGTTCGCGAAATTGTTAGAACAATCCAAAGAAGCCAGATTCGAGTGGGAGCGATTGCTGCAGACGAAGGAAATGTGAAATTGAAAGGTTCGATGGTGCGGACTTTGGCTTTTGGAAGATGCAGATTGAAGATTTTTTGTGCAAGAAAAATCTATATCAACATCTCTCAGGAAAGCAATCATAGGGCATGAAGAATAAAGACTGGGCTCTTCTCAATAGACAAGCCCTCAGAGTTATCCGACTGACGTTATCCCGCAATGTTACTTTCAACATAGCAAAGGAAAAGATCACGGCGGGTCTTATGGCGGCTCTCTCCAGTATGTATGAGAAGCCATCGGCCTCAAACAAAGTTCATTTGATGAAACGATTGTTCAATTTGCGGATGGCGGAAGGGGCATCAGTGGCTCAACACCTAAATGAACTCAACAGAATCACAACCCAGTTGAGTTCCGTGGAAATTGAATTCGATGATGAAGTTCGAGCTTTAATTCTCTTATCATCTCTACCAGATAGTTGGAATGCTACTGTTACAGCAGTTAGCAACTCGTCGGGAAATAGTAAATTGAAATTCGATGATATTAGGGATCTGGTACTAAGTGAAGAAATTCGACGGAGAGAATCGGGTGAAGCATCAACCTCCTCAGCCTTGCACACAGAGTCCAGAGGGAGAACTTCATAAAGAAATTCAAATTGTGGCAGATCCAAATCCAGAAGGGGAAAATCAAGAACAGGAAAAAAAGAGTTTACATGTTATAACTGCGACAAGAATGGTCACTTTTAAAAAAGATTGCCAAGCACCGAAGAAAAATATCGGCGCACAGGAATCTGCCAACGTAACAGAGGATACAGGTGATGCCATGATTCTAAGCGTCAACACTCCGATTGAATCATGGATCTTGGATTCAGGAGCATCTTTTCACTCCACCCCATACCGAGAAATCATGGAGAACTATGTCAGTGGTGATTTTGGGAAGGTTTATCTAGTTGATGATGAAATCTTGAAGATCGTCGGAAAAGGAGACATCCAATTAAAGTTGCCAAACCAGACCACCTGGACGCTAAAAGGAGTAAGACATATTCCTGGCCTCAAAAGAAATTTGATTTCTGTAGGACAACTTGATGGAGAAGGATATAACACAACTTTTTCAGGTTGTGAATGGAAGATTACCAAAGGAGTACTCGTCATTGCTCGTGGTAAGAAGACTGATACTCTCTATGTAACCTCAAATTTAGAGAATATCATTGCAACAACAGATGATGATGAAAAATCAAACCTATATCACCAAAGGCTTGGCCATATGAGCGAGAAATGGATGAATACACTTTTTTCAAAAGGGAAGTTACCGGATCTAAAAGAATGTAGATGTCGGACTATGCGAGGATTGCATCTTTGGAAAACAAAATAAAGTCAGCTTTGTAAAGATTGATAAGACACCCAAGGCAGAAAAGTTAGAGTTGGTTCATACTGATGTATGAGGACCATCTCCAGTTCAATCTCTTGCAGGCTCATTACATTATGTCACCTTCATCGATGATTCAACAAGGAAGGTGTGGGTTTATTTTCTGAAGAAGAAATCATAAGTCTTTGATACCTTCAGAAAATGGAAGACCATGGTGGAAAATGAGACTGGTTTGAAAGTCAAGAGGTTGATGTCTGACAATGGAGGAGAGTACAGAAATAGAAGATTCAAAGATTTCTGCACAAATAATGGGATCAAGATGGAGACAACAGTTCCCATGATACCGCAGCAGAATGACGTAGCAGAGCGCATGAACAGAACTCTGAATGAACGTGCCAAAAGCATGAGGATACATGTCGGATTGCCCAAATTTCTATGGGCTGAAGCTATCAACACTGCAACTTACCTGATCAATCGTGAGCCCTTAGTTCCCTTGGATGGTAGAATACCAGAGGAAGTTTGGAGCAAGAAAGAAATAAACCTTTCACACTTAAGAGTGTTTGGTTGTATTTCTTATGTACACATAGACTCTGCTCAAAGAAGTAAACTTGATGCTAAGTCCAACAAATGTGTCTTTGTTGGTTATGGCGGTGATGAGTTCGGTTACCGGTTTTAGGACTATGAAAATCAGAAGATCATCAGAAGCAGAGATGTCATTTTCAATGAGAATATGATGTACAAAGACAGGGCAACCATAGAATCAAGTAGCTCCAATACCAAAGATGAAACAAAGGAATTTGCTGAGTTTGAGGAGATTTCTAGAAATGATGTTCAGATCAATCCTGAAGCAGTTCAAGAAGAACCATGAACACCAGAACTGAGACGCTCCTCCAGAATTCCTAAACCAACCCAGCGTTATTCACCTTCTTTGCACTACTTGTTGCCAGAGTGCTATGATGAAGCAATGCAGGTGGAGGATTCAGTCAAGTGGAAGTCTTCCATGAAAGATGAGATGGACTCGCTTATGTCAAATCAGACATGAGAATTAGTTGAATTACCACAAAGCAAGAAAGCACTCCACAACAAGTGGATTTACAGGATCAAAGAAGAGCACGATGTGAGCAAACGTTATAAATCAAGATTGGTTGTCAAAGGTTTTCAGCAAAAAGAAGGTATTGACTACAATGAAATTTTCTCTCTAGTCGTAAAACTGTCTACAATCAGGCTGATGTTGAAAATTGTAGCTGCAGAAAATCTACATCTTGAGCAGTTAGATGTAAAGACAGTTTTCCTTCATGTTGATTTGGAGGAAGAAATCTATATGATGCAGCCAGAAGGCTTCATAGAGGCAGGCAAGAAAAACCTGGTATGCAGGTTGAAGAAGAGCTTGTATGGTTTAAAACAAGCTCCTAGACAGTGGTACAAGAAGCTCGATAGCTTCATGAGTATTAGTGGTTTTACCAGATGCCAAGCAGATCATTGTTGCTACATCAAGAGGTTCGACAATAGCTTCATTATTTATTATTGTACGTTGATGACATGCTCGTTGCAGCTCAGACATGCAAGAGATTATAAACTTGAAGCAAAAATTGTCGAAGCAGTTTGCTATGAAGGATCTGGGCGCTGCAAAGCAGATTCTTGGGATGAGGATTAAGAGAGACACAAAGTCAGGGACTTTGATGTTATCACAGGTTGAGTACATCAACAAAGTACTCTCCAGGTTCAACATGCAAGATGCTAAACCAGTAAGTACACCTTTAGGTGTTCATTTTTTATTCTCCAAAGAACAGTAACCAAAGATGGAGGAAGAACGTGCACACATGGTGAAGGTGCCGTATGCCTCAACAATTGGAAGTCTAATGTATGACATGGTTTGTAACAGACCATATATTGCTCATGCAGTGAGATTTGTTAGCAGGTACATGAATAATCCGAGCAAAGTACACTGGGAAGCAATCAAATGGATCCTCAAATATCTACGGGGTACTACAAACAAAGCACTTTGTTTCAAAGGTGGAGATACGATACTGACATGCTATGTAGATGCTGACTTAGCCGGAAATGTTGACATTAGAATGAGCACTACAGGGTATGTCTATACTCTAGGAGGTACTACAGTGAGTTGAGTTTCTCAACTACAGAAGATAGTTGCTCTCTCCACAACTGAAGCAGAATATGTCGTTGTTACGGAAGCCAACAAGGAGATGGTTGGCTCCAAAGTTTATTGGAAGAGTTAGGCAAGAAACAAGAAAATAATGTCTTGTATTGCGACAGTCAAATTGCTATCCATCTAGCAAAGAATCTGTCTTTTCATTCCAGGAAGAATCACATACAATTGCGCTATCATTTTATCAGGTCTCTTCTGGAAGATGGGATTTTGAAACTTGAAAAGATTAGTGGAGCTCAAAATCCGGCAGACATGTTGACAAAGACGGTGACCACGGACAAACTGAAATTGTGCTCAGCTTCAGTTGGAATGCTATAATAACAAGATTAGAAATGTTGTTGCATCGATTGAGATGTGAAGACAGATTAAAATCAGTCTTCAAGTGGGAGATTGTTAAAAGTCCAAAGTTTGACAACCAACTTTGAAAATGATTTTCAAAGTTTGGTAAATGTTTCTTTGAAAAATGGTTTTTCAAAGTTTGGTAGATGTTTGTTGAAAAATTGTAATGGGGTAATTATAATTAGTCACTGGATTTTAGGGTATTTATAAGATTAGTCCTTAAGCTTCAACTATAAATACCCTAACCCATTTAGCTTCAAAATCATCCCAAACCATTTTCTTTCTCCCAATACTAGAGAGCTTTCTTGTGAGTAGTGAGTGTTTTGTAAACACTTGTAAATTTTCTCTCTTAGTAAAAGATCTGCAGCAGTCCGGAGACGTAAGCAAAATTGGTTGAACTCCGTTATCAATTTTGGGTATTATTTTTTCGCTTTTATTTCGCATTCTCACTAATATGATTATAGAAAAATTACCCGTACTCTGTTTATTTCCCAACACCATGATGCAAAATAAAATGTAAACTCAAAAATGAAAGGTATAAACTCAGCTTCCAAATTGATTAAAGGCCCTAAAATATCACTCAAAATCCGTTCTGTACGTAACCATCCATACAATCGAACACGTGTGTTCACATAAATGTAAGGAAAACAATAAGTTGAACAAAAATAACAATAATGTATTTCCTCATATCAACAACAGCAAAGAAACAAATCAAAGGGCTTAAAACTGAAACTCCATGTATTGAACCATAAGAACCAAAACTAAAGAAAACCCATTCCTCATAATCACCTAAAACAGAAACCCAAATGGAAACATAGCAGAAAGGTATTGGCTTTAGAACCTGGAAATGTGAATTTTCAAAAAAAAAAAAAAACAGTTGACAAAGACAGTAAATATGAAGAATAAAATTTGTTATTTCTAGTAGTATATGATGTTATAAGATAATATTTGTTACAATAAAATTTTACATATTGTTAACGAACATATATTCTACGAATATAATTATTCATATTTAAATTCTCAAAAACAATAATAATAATATTTTTTATTACTAAAATCACTCAATAAATTTTATTTTTATCATACATTATACATGGTGAAATATGATAGGAAGGATTAGTCTCCATTTTTTTCCCGTCATAATGTACCTATTCCATTGGTTTACTAATTACTAGTAGTTTGATGATGAGATAACTAATTTTTAAGGTCAATTTATATATCACTTGTTAGATAAAAAAAATGTTGTTGGAAGATTGTTCCGATATGTGCATAATAGAGTATTATTTGTAATACCCCAAAAATTTAGACAATGACCAAAATGCAAATTTTGAAAATTTGATGGTCAAAGTAGAATTTTGGGAAAAAAAGTTTAGGGAATTAAGTGATAATTTCCTAAAAAGAATTTTTATTCCAAGAAAATCGGTATTTCAGATCGAGTTGAAATTTTACGAAAATTTGAAGGATGTTATAATATGGTTGGAAATATTATTTTAATATTTTGGATCAGAGAAATTTGGTTTGGAAATATGCAATTTTTCAGATTTAATCGAAACAGTGGAATTTAGTGACTAAAACACAAATTTTTTAAAATTAAAGGGGAATTTCAGAATTAAAAGTCAAAATAATTTATGTTTAACTTTGTAATATGATAATAATCAGATGGCTTGGTTTTATGGTGATTATGGAGATTCATTAATGGAAAAAATGGAATTTCCTATTGAATTGAATAA